TTTTTCAATTGCTATTTACTAAAATAAATTGTATTTATATTATACCTAAATTAATTTAATTTAATTTATTTTCTCGCAGTTTTTCAGAATGATACACAATTTGACTTGCGGTGGTTCACGTGTTGGATAATGAGACAATAGTCAATAATATGATTGTTTTCGAACTTGAATTATAGAATATATAATATAACCAAACGACCAAACCTACATAATAATATGTATAAATAAAAGGGAATTTTGAAATTAATTAATTTAGCATATTTTTGTTCTGAATCCACGAATTTATCTATTATAATTGTGTTATAGAGTTAATAAAGTAAATATATAAACATTTTGAGTTTAAATATTTCAAATACCATTCTTTTTTTTAACTAACCAACCCTATAGAATTTATTCGAATAGTACTTCAATATTAAAACAAAACAAACATAATTAAAGTAAGAATCAAAATTATATTTTATGAAATTCATAAAGTCACCGACTTTACGATTTTAGTTTTAAGAACAATCTGAATTTTTAAATTAAATTAAATCCGAAAGCTGATCTTTGTTTGTTGGTATACGATTGCTGGTAGCATTTACACAAAGACCTTTGTATGCATTTATCATATAAAATAAATTAAATATTATTACAACTTTATCATCTAATTAGGTAATATACCTACTTATATTTATACAATAGAAATACGCGGTCATGGAAACAAATTATCGTTGGCATACGAATGTATATAATATATTATTATATGAATTATGAATTAGTGTGTTTTATATAATACCTATTTATTGTGGTTTTGTTGTAAGTTAACTAAATTTTTAGTTACAAATATATGTATCAGTTATTATGTTGTCTGACACGAGAAAAACAATGTATTATTTTCATATTTAAACGACCAATCGGTTATGAAATTAATTATTTCAATATTATACCATTAAAAAATAACATTTAAAAAAACATTTTTATAACTATTATTGGTATGAGTAGAATTTTGTACAGTGATTAATACATTTCACATAAAAGTAAAAAGACTAAACAGTTATAATATATATTATATTATAACTAGGTCTCGGATTTATTTGTATTTCTATAACCAAAGTATGTAGTTAATATTTATACAACACAAATATGGGCAAAAGAATTCAAAATATGTATTATCAAAAAAAAAAAAAATAATAATCAATTGCTATAGATTTTTTACTAGCAGTAGGTACAATACAAAATGTGACCGTCACTTTGTAATTGTTCATTTTTATATTCAGAAACATGTTTTATTGCTTTGCAAGTTTTAGGCGATCGTACTTTTGGCCTTACCTATTGGTAATATAGGTACATATAAAATATAACGAAAAACGAGGCCATGAAACACACACTACGATGTCACATTAAAAACTATACACTCATCGCGTGTTCTCTCGTTTGTGTTTAACGTGTTTAAAAATGTGTAATCGTAATACATTAATTGAAAATATAACAGGTTGAGTGCCATGGTCGTTTAGCCAAGTCAAAAATGCGTCCGGTGGACCTGAACTCTGAAGAAAAGACGTTAAAACAGTAAAATTGTCTAAATATGTGAACAAAATTGAATAATTGTAAAATATGTAAAATCAAATACCTATAGCTCATTTTATCAAAAATCTTGTGAAACGAATTTATCACTTGCCGAAATTAGTTTATCATGTCGAAGAGAAATATGTATTTACATATAAATCCGAGCCCTAATTATAACTGCACACGCCCTAACAAAATAAAAGTTAAATATGTTTAAGTTCTTTGGTAACCTTGTTTTTATGTATAGGTGGATAACTGTTATTATACTTTACGTGTGTACAGTGTACGTCTAATAATATGTATTATAATAATATGATATTGTATAGGTAATGTAGTATTTTATAATTAATTTCACCTCAACAAGTTCATCAGGTGCACGGGAAAGAAGCACAGTGCGAACATGACCACAACTGCCACCAACATTTTCGCCGCTTTCCTCCTGGCTTTTATCTGAGCCATCGTGCTGGTACACCCCACCGTCGCCGTCCGGTTGAACCCTGTGAAATAAACTTTCCCGTGAGTAAATTCGTATACGCGTCTTGGCTCAGGTGGTTTTCCTAACTTGTTAAAACTTATAGTTTTAATATTTTTTATTATAATATATTCGCCATCGCTCACGTGCACAATTATTACGATGTGCCAACTTTTTTGGAAAATTTACTCTGCGGTTTACAGTACCTATTTTGTGATGCTCGGCAACCACGTGTATGCCGTGATCAAAAGCGTTAAGAAAGGAGTGCGGTCTCAACAAATAAATAACAGCATCTTATAATGTAATGTGGCTTAGAGCCTTATATATGACACTTTCAATATTTTTATCGTTGAAAATTTGTGAGACTTTATAATATTTTCTCTATTGAAAGAAGCTGCGAGTTGTACATTTTAAACAGTTTTTTTTCTCTATCTTGGTAGTTTTTTACAATGCATTAAGAAGTTTCGAAAAAGACCTGCTTAAATCAGTAATTTCGTTAAATTTAATAAGCTTTACTCTATTTGCCGGGAGAATGAGGTTACTTCGCGCATACAACTGGAGTGGGATTGTCGAGGTGGTATACGAGGCGTGTTTTGGTTTGTACACAACCACTTTATCTCGGTGAACGGAGTGTACAAGATATGAAACATTCTGAGTGTATCTACAGAAAACCAATCAAATATGTCTTACTTAAATAGTTAAACATATTATTCTGATGACCGACAGTATAAGATATTGATATAGTAATAGTAGTTATAGTATAACAAACATGACGCAAATACTGATGTATTTAAAATAAAATGACAACCATACGTATATGACTGTAGCATACATTAATTTGTACATCTATTTTCCGATTACCTAAACTACTGTATCATTACACAGTAAACTTACACATTTGAAACCTAGATAACCATTAATTATTATAAGGGTAAAAGGACAATTGCTTCCTATAAGTTCCTATAGTTCCTACTTCCTACGCAGAAGCGTATATCTGTGGCTTGGGTCGTAGTTATGCTTTTAAAAAATATAATAATTTACTTTAAACATTATAAAATACTTTATGCACTCGACCGTGTAAATATTATACATTGTTGTTTAGTACTACGATTGCAATAAATTGTTTTCCAGAAACGTTCATATTTTTTATTGAATACTTAATTATTTTTAATGTCAATAAATAAATCGAGTTTCAGTGAAGTACCTATATTTAAGACTATAAATCGAGTGGTTATTTTTTTAAATTAATGTAGTGTTATAGTTTTATTTGTTATTACAATATTACAATAACACAGTAATCGTTGTATGCAAAAATATCTCCTCTTCCACGATAAATAATAGCTTATTCAAGTATTATAATAATTAAATAATATAAGCGTGTTTCAATATTTTCATAAAGCTGAAAGATGTTTTCATTACACGGTTTTGAAAACGATCACGACTGAAAACGTTCTAGGCGTATCAGTTATTAATTGATATCGTTAAAAAAACCGATATTCTCAGTAAAGGAAAAAATGCTATCTAATTTTTATTCTGCAGAGTAAATAGGTTGCCATTAAATTTAACGAAGTAGAATGTATAATATTAATCAAGGTTATTATATTCTTTTTTTCGAAAATGACTTGCTATAAAAAAGATATTCAAATATTATGTTGATTTGAATGACAACGGAAACTATACATTGTGCTATACGTGTATAATATTATTATTATGTGTAGTTTGGGTTTTTACGATATAGGTAGGTAGTCGCTTATTTAATATTATTGTTGTAACGTAAAATCGTGTTACTTTAAAATGATGAGCGATTTATAATAGTATAGGTAATAGGGTAATAGGTACACTATACACGCCCAGAATAAATGAATCGGTTTTTCCACGATCTAATCGGTAATATCGTTTTATGGGTACTCACCCTATAATAATATTACGTCTCTATAAAAGTTGGACTGCAAAACTCACCGTTGTAAGCATTGGCGTTGAACATTTGCACAGTTTCTGTGTGCCCTGGTATGTTGTCGGATTTCCATAGCACCCGGACAATCTGATAGTAGGCGACCGACATGAGCAATAGGGGCAGGATGTAAAGCACTATGGTCTTGGCGATCTGGTAGGTGGTCTCAGACTCTTGGCTCCACAGAGCTTCGCACTGGGTCAGATAGATGGACGAAAATCGTTTCGTCTTTTCGATGGCTTCCAACACCAACAGCTCTGGAACGTCTGCGAGAAAAGCCCAGATTAAAACGACCGTGGTCTATTTTTATTATTTTGTTGTATTGTCATGGTATACAGTATACTTAAACATTTAAATTCAATATAATTGATAACTATAAATTATAACCGTTGATAATATAATTATATTTATATTGTATATTATCTAGTAATAAGGTAATAAGATACCTATACCATTACACAATAAATAAATATATATAATTTAAAAATGTAAGTAAACATTATTTTGTATTAGTAAAAAATATTTTTTTCAAAGAAAACCATTTTTGTATATGGACATTTATAATTGTATCTATTCGTAAATAATGAATATTAGATTTATCAGTTTCCATAAAAATAACACTTCATGATAAAATATAATAGTAAAAAATTAGATTATTTCTGCAAGTATCTCATGTTACAAAAGTTGGCACTTCAACATATTATATATTATATAAAACTAATGATATGTTTCTCAAAAATGTACTGGGATAATAAGCGTGATGAGTAAAAAAAAAAAATCTCCCTATTCTGAGAGTATTTACAAACAATGACAAGTGTAATTTTTTATTGTTCCAATATTATATTGTACATTTGTAGGTCTGTTCACACGGTATTTCAAGTACCTACATGGACCCATTAGTCATTTGGTATTCATAATGTATATACGTACTCAAAGTGGTTACTGGTTAATGTTGGATTCCAAATATATATAATTGAGTTATAATGTATCCATTACCGGAAAAAAATGTAGGAACACGTAATATAATTACTAACACGAAAAAAACAAAATTAATAATTTGTTCATAATTAAACATAATATATTATACATGCTATTTGGTGTGCTTCCTAATTATATTTCAAAGTAAAAAAAATATTTTATTTGCATCCGTAATTTAGGGTTAATACAAGGACTGAACACAAATTAATTCAGTACATTTAAGTATAGTTGAAATGTTTCTGTTATGGTGGTTACTTCTTATGATTTTCAAATTTAGTTTACACTATTGCCTATAATTATTGTTGGACCACTACATCCTGTCTACTATATAGTAGGTATTTGAATACATTGATGTAAGCTGTAACGGTGTCTAATTGGATATTAAATTAAACGTCAGTATAATTTTGTTATGCATACGGTGTTTTTGATTTAATATTATTATTTTATAGTGAAAATGTACAATCTATACAATTTGGCATATACGTATATGAATAAGTAAATGTCTATAGTACAAAAATTAATATTTTATTAACAATATCAGGGTACTCACGAAGTTCGAACTTGGAAAGGTACCTTTAATGGCACTATCTATCAAAAACGTCAACGTAATTATCATTTCGTTATAAATTATTATCGATTACTTATAATTTTACGCTTGTAATTTGTATAACATCATACCTTGTTAATATCACAAATTTATTTCACGAACTGAAATTGAATTTTTAATTTATACACCTGTGTGTATCTTTTGTAATTTTTTATCTGCAGCAATACAAATAATATTAAAATTCAATAAATATCCTATAAAATGCAGATTGATTCTTTATTAGGTCTTATTAGTATAAACACCTAACCTAACCAGTAACCATACATTGTTTTATATTAAGAGATTTAATTTTTAAATGTTTTTTTTATGACTTTTTATTATAATGCAGGAGATTAGTGCGTCTTATCGTGCATTCGATATGTTATACTTATACAGCAACCCTCTACCCTTATAATTTGTTACCCCATTTCAGGTTTAAGCTGTTTTGTAAATATTTTCTCTCACTTGTCACTAAACAGTAAACAAAACAAGTTTTTTCCAAAGAAAAATAAAGCAAAAATATTTATATGTATAATTTGTCATTATTTTATTATAATAATATGTATTTACTTATAACGTAATACCCAAAACTGCATTTATGTAATAAGATATAATAATGTAATGAGTAATAACGTGAGCCCAATATTATCAAACTGAATTAAATTTTTCTATAATATGTTTAAATGTAGTGTAGTATAATGAGTTTATTTATAACAATGAATAACACCACACAATACATTAGGCATATTAACTATAACGACATGATGGTGGTTACAAATATATAAGTATAGTTCAACTGTTTGGTATATAGACTATATTTCCATAAAGAAATTGCAAATTATTTTTATTTGAATAAATATGGTATTATGTTAATGTTAAAAATTGAGTTACTCAGTTACTCGCATAAATTATACATTTAAATGATCTTGTATTTATTATTTTATTATCTATAGGTATGTTCGGGGCAAACGAATATTATTCCATCACCGCTGAATAAAGTTTTCAATCGTGGTGTGGGAGAATACACTAAAACAGACTCTGCTAAATTTAAAATGCCTTGTTAACGTATTAATTATATAAGTGTATTAATTAATATTTATGTAAAGTTCTGCGATGCTCAATGAAAACCTTTGATAGTTTTATTTTGTCAACTTTACGAAATCTGATGTTTAAAGAGTAATATTCTAGCAGTATTTTTTATAAGTAAAGTGCGTGCTTACACAATTAATTTGTTTGTATTATTCATTTGCGGACAAATTTACGAGCTTAAACTTGTCTTTGCAGCATATCGTTGTTGCACGCTGTTTGTGAGGTTATAACCGTTAATACAGCGGTGCAAGTTTTGTCAAACTCTTGTGATTGTTGTAAATGATTATGTGTAGGTATACTGTCGGAACAATGTCGTAGATACCCGGCATCTCATTTGAGAACTTACTCCGGGTAAATCAATTACACAAATGACTTACGAGGACACATAAAATAGATTTTATTGCGTAATTCACGTTATCTCGATCTAAAGTTATTACTTATTGCATGTTATGTATCGTACTCCATTTGGAGATACATGTTCATCAGCATCGTAGATTACGTCTATTTACCAGGCAACTACCATGTATACGAATAATAAATATTCTGACACAATATTATCATACCTACATAAAATGCACTCGCAAATCGTTCAAACGAATTTTAACATCATTCAATCATCTGCAACGTAATTAATTAAACAGATTATACGGAAAGTGCGTTATTGCATGCGGATATAGTCCAACGATTAGTTTAAGATTTATTATAATCATATGGTTCGGCAGTTATTCATTAATACGATAAATATTTGCAGGTATATGCGTGAATATGCAGGAATAATATTACAAGGACGAACGTTTGTTTCTTCGAAATCGTCGTATTATTTTATGAATAGCTGAAGGGTCGAAAATCTTATAGTTACGACTTAACCAACAGTTCTATAATAATAATAATAATAATAATATTACATTGATCTAAAAAGCGTCGTAGATCCCATTATTATCAGACATTTTTTTCATCGGATTCCTATAAAAAAGCGATAATTATATCTTAACATGTACAATATGATATTATAATATCAAACGTCATATTTTATTGATTTAGATTAAACGTACTGAGCACTTTTGTTTCAATTACGGTTCCTATATACATACGTAATAGACATCTATAAAATATAGTATAAAAATATTTAAAATAAGATAGTGCCTATATTAAACTTTAATAACATACAGTGTAAGTTGTTAATTTAAAAGGCGAAGGAGGGGTCCACATTGGCAATGGACATTAAATTGTCATAAATATACTAGCATCGAGGTGTATTACCTGACTTCGACCAACTGGTTAAAATTATTCTATCTTTTTATAGTTTACCGTTTTGGTTCAATTGAAATATAATATAATACAAACACAAAATGACAATGATAAATTTTATGATTTTCCAATTCATAGTTCTGGACATATTTTTTATGCAAACACAAAATACTGGAGACAGATTCAACGTATTCTCAGTTGACGTAAATCCAATTACCTACAGGTATTCTCCTTTATGTGTTTATATAAAAATATATCCAAAATATTAACAAAGCAACTCAGGATTACAAATATAATAAAAGTAATCATTGTAATAAATTGTGTTTACCTACAAATATTTTATTTAAATATTATTTGTAAATATTTTTATATGCCATATTTCTACTAATATTAAAGTAAAATGTAATCTGTAAATAGGTAGTCGAAAAATATTCGATTTTCATGTGCCGAAACAAAGTCCATGTGTGATCCACCCTATTTCAATCTATAGGAGTTGAAAACATAAACTAAAAACAACTTCCGAGTATCAAAGAATCTTTTGATATAAGATACAACATTTATTGAAAACGGTCCAGTAGTTTTTGAGCCTATAGTGGACCAAAAAACAAAGGAACAATCATTTTTATATTTATTGATTACATCCCTGTGTACAGAACAGATACTACAAATATCCAGTTTATGTGTTATTAATATTATATATTGTAGTAATGTGAAGTGAAAGACACACACCAGTGTCTACATAATATAAAAATAGCAATCGTAGGTGACACACTATATGGATGATTGCCATCGAAATAATATACTATTAAATATTATTAACGTTACATTATTATGGTGATTTCATCACATTTGCATTTAAAATATACGTTTTCTTCCATTATATTTTATCTTACTGTGTATACTAACGATGAAAAGAAATATCGTAAATTTGAAAGAAAAAAATAATCTAACATTCTATAGGTACATGACGACGTTGTGCTAAAAATATGCGATTCGACTATTCAAGTATAACAAATCTTTTTCAATCTATTGATTGATTAACCCTAAAATTCAGCCATTGAAAACGTTTTTAAATTTATTAAGCTATAAAGTATGACGATTATCGAGATGGGTAAATTGATCTGAGCCAAATTAATTAAGGAAACATTTGAAAATTGATCAATTTACATACAAATAAATTTACCACTGTTATTAATATTATTAATATTACGGTATCCACTAAATTTTCCTCTTTTATTACTTACAAACCTACAGTAAATACCCACTGACAGCTTATATCCACAGGATATTTTTTATAACTCAATAGTGGTAAATTATTGCTTTTTTTCTTTTATTAAATTTAAACTTTTAAAACAATAGAGTATG